ATCATTCTTTACTAAATTATCTACTTTTTATTTTTGCAACCAGGAACTGTAGTATCCTTATTCGTAATTATGTCGGACAATGCCGCTTCCGTCTACGCACAATCTCCGCGTTGTAAAACTATCAGAATGTGATGATTTCCGTCCGTCGCGCGGGCAATGAATGTAGGTGAGACGACGGTAACGGCCCGCTTCGCACGTCGTGTGTTACGCCGGCATTTCTCAGTCCCACGATAAGCCATTAAGGGTCGCTCCACAAAAAGCGATCATTATAAAGGATGTAAAGACTGCACCGGCGCCGAGCCTTCCCAAAACTGGATCCATTCTTATTTCGCGCTCCCGCCTTATTCACGGGGATTTTTTGTTCGGTTTTGGTCATTTTTTTGTTACGGGAGCGGTACTCTTGTGAGTGCTTCGAGGAAATGGCTTATTGGGTTTCGTATAGGAGCCGAGCTTATCTCGAGGCGTCGATCGGCGCGACGAGCCTGGGAACGTACAACGGAGATCTCGCAAAAGGACCGTTAGCCGCATTCCGCACGCCCGGCTACATCTTGTCACTAGGAGTCGTCTGGTAGGTACTTGTGACGTCTCGAGGCTCAAAGAGCGTTCTTCTACTTCGCTAGGTAAACAGGAATGTTGTGTAGGTTTCAATTCATGTGTGCAAAAAATCGCTTACAGGTATGAAGCAGACACGTTAGAATTGTAACTGGCAATTTATAAACATTATGTTACATGCAATTTTATATCTTTTCAAATTGTTTTCTGGATTAATAATTGTGGTATGCTATTGTTACAAATATGTTTGTGTTGCGTAGTAAATCTAAACATAACAGTGAATCAGAGCAAATACGATCCTATTTAATTATTGCTTACAATATTTTCACAGCAGTAACCACTGCAATCAGTGTCGTAAAGTAACGTAACAAATAACCATATCAATTCCCAATTGGAATTTCCCACAGATTGTTGCACCACGGCTGGGAAAATTCAAGTTAATTTTCTATAAGTTGTAAATAACGAACATTTATTATTTATTGTCGGGTCTGTGAATGTGTTAATTGTGTTGTTTTGCTTACATATATTTTTTCGCATTTCAGCTATGTTGAAACTGCCGACTGCACGCCGAAATAACAATTTTGGACAAATACAGGAAGAGTCAATGGAAATATTGGTATGTATTTTTAATAATTATTGTGTAATGAGGATAAATTTTTTATATACAAAAACCCTTTGGATCATTTGCGTTATTTAGAACTAGAAGGTACTCCCACAGGTCACGGGCCCTTATTGAGGGCAAAGGGAAGTTATAAATCTGTCGGCGCGAACAATAGCGCGATAAGGTGCACCTTACGTCCGCGCCGATAATGCCCCCCCCCCCCCCGCCTCCCGAGCCCGCCAACCCCGCGCAGCCAAAACACTGGTGCAATGTCAGCACCTCTACTGGCCCCTCGTCACCAGCCCGACACCCGTGGCAACATCATGCTCTACCATCCAACCGCACTACCGCGCGCCCACTCCGCAAAATTAAACTTATAATATCGCTTGCCAAATGTACTAATGTTGGCCCACACTCTGTACGTATTTCCCAACGCTTTTTGTTGATAGGTCGCTTGGCGATAGAGTGGAGGTGAGGGGAAATAGAGAGGTCGGTACAACGCAAATCTTATCGGTCATTGACCTTCACACCTAAACTGAGCCTCACATCTCGCTCCGTGCGCGCGTTTACGTGAACTTGTACACTAAATTTCAGGAATAGAGCACCATTCCATACGATATTTATTAACTGGCAATTCGTGTGTTTGTTTCGCCGCCGTTTTCCGAACACTAATATTTATACTGTAGTATAACTGTTACTATTCCAATTTACGAGTACATTCAGACGTTTTAATGGCTATTTAAATTTTTAATAAATAATTTTAATGATTTTTAAATAAATTATTGATTTGTTATAATTTTGCTAGAAATCTCAAACAATTTCTTACCAAATAGACATTGCTGATGCTTGCACTCGACACAAGCAGATGGAGCAAGCCTTCAACATAGAGCTGCGTCTACTAACAGATTATATGCTTATCTGCATGATGCATGGTTACTCGGAGTTTTCTAACGATAGTGAGAGTTTAGCTCACTAAGTTTTGCTTGTAAAGTTTGGTAGTTGTGTGGTGCAACATTGTCTCGTCGTTGTAGACACTTTTATCAAATCGTTTGTTACAAATTTTATAATACCAGGTGTTTTAAATTTATGAAAAACTCAGAAAACTAGCTCTTCATAGCAATGGCTAGTTATGCGACTTACGCAGGGTACCCGCATGTCTTTTTAACGTGGTAGAGCCACGCTGCAGCAAAGGGCGAGACCGCGCTCTCATAGAATAGCAGCGTGAAACAACATAATAATGCTGCTTTGTTTCTAATGGTGAGTGTAGAGAACCGGAGAACTTATTTACTGGTAACGAGGCATTGCATTTTAGCCCTCCGGGGCAACAACGCATCGGCACTTTGATTCTTAATCGATGATAGTTGTAGATGCTCATTTGTCCCCCTTAATCTATATAGAAAATATACGCACCTTTCACAAGACCTTTAAACACTATTTAGGTACATAGTGCATAACTTGGCAAGTGCCTCAACATGAGTATAAAGCTTGCACTATATTTCTTGAATAAAAGCTTCGAAATGTCTGAACGTCAGGTAGGCGCCAACGAAACCTTGACCTCTTTACCCGTTGAGCCGTCGACGCGCACACAATGGACTATTCTGTGACATCCGAGCCGACACCCGATCAACCACCGCCCCTCATTCCGCTCCCCTCAAGTTACCAAAACATTTACCGACCGACCGCAGCAAGTACGCCATCTACAGTGCGCCAGCCGATCACCTGACGGGCCATCAGAAAGTTAGCAATAACGCTGCGAGCGAATGACACGACAGCGCTCATTTGCCTGGCGGACGTTTCTATTGTAACGTAGCGGCTTGGCTTGTTGACTTTACCGATAATCGAAATAATCGTGACACGGTAAAGTCGGTCATGTTAGTATGTAATTAGAGACGTCTGCGGCGTGCGGAACGAGCGAGGCTAACAAAATTCGGGGGGCGGCGCGGGTCGCGGCCCGCGTTGAATAAAACATGCCGAGAGCGCGCCGCGCCTTGGCGCCACCGCCGTCGCCGCGCCACACTCTACAGAATTTAGCTCCTACTGCTGCCTCTTTTATCGCCGATATGTTCCTACCTCTTCACCGCCTCTCGACTGAGTACCAATTTTCGACAAATCTCGTACGAAATAGATCTTACCACATTCCGATTCGTCGGTATCGAAATCAAAATTTGTCTATTTGCAAACTTTATGAATATTTTCATTTGGGAAAGTTCCAACGCCATCCGCTTTTAAGTACAAACGTCCGTTATTTTTTATGTCACCTTCAGCATACCGTTTTTCAGAGGATAAGTTACTGCTTTATCTGATGTATCAGATATGCTGCATCTTTATGCAGCGCTGTCAAGCCAGGGAGACCTATGTCCCTCGGGAATGTTTTCAGAAAAAGGGCCTATAAGAAATTATATGGCCAACTAAAAGTTGACTGTGATACTTCTTATTACGATACTAATTACTGTATTAAAAATTTTCAAAAATTAATGATAGATTCTAAATAGAAAGTGAAATTATACAGCGATTTAAATATTATTAAGAAAACAGCGGTGTCCACAACAAGTCGTAAAATAAATACATATTACTGACACTTCGTAGCATAGCGTAGCTGCTACGTAGCACTTAGCTTGAACTAAAGTCCAAAGATAAAACTAAATCTCATTTATCTTTAATATTATAAGAACTGGCAACACATATTATAATAGTTAGACAATCATTATTAAGTATTGAATGAGTTGAAAAAGGCCGGCTTAATTAGAGTGCATTAACAATTAACATGCGGGTCGCGGAGCTATGGCAGTGGCACGTAGAGACTATCATCTGCGGAGGACTCGTGTCACCGACAAAACCGCCGCATCTGCTGGATATTAAACTTTAATAAGTTGTCAATTCTTAAATCGATACGTAATAAGTAATTTAATTAAATAGCTATCACCATAGCAATCTCTTGTTATCGACTCGTAGAAAAAGACCTCACTAACTCGTTTCTAAAACCATTTCGCGCTACTTAATTCTATGCATGACCGCTATATGACTCTATGTACATCACGTTTCTTACGTTAGCACATTATATAAAGTACGCACCGTTTTGAACGTTACCAAACCAGTAACCAAGCGCTATAATAATGCTTTTGGAAGCGGAAACTCTCTACATCATGTGCACGGCCGAGACATTTCGGTAATTGCTCCCCAGATAGTAGTATCACGAGCAGCTTATTAATTATGAGCGACGGAGGCGCGCATTTATTGACCTTATCTCCGGTGGGCCCTTGCTTTCTTACCTGGCCGTTTAACGAGCGGTGCGCGGCAGCGGAACGGCGGCTGGGAACCGCTGTCCGAATGTGATCCGATTGAGTCATTATCATTGCCTATTCACCATTTTTTTAACTTTCCATGTAAGTACTTACCGATTAAAATGAAGTCTTAGATCTATATTCTATTATTCTATATATTTCTTTTTTTACACAAACATAATTGCGAAAGTTTAGGTTTAATAGGAATTTTAAAATTTTACATAATTCATTACGTTTGCTAGTGTTAAAACGTAATAACTCATGATTGTCAGTAGCAAAATAACTTGCTATTTTCATAAGGGCATTTGCCTTTACTTTCACACATGTGACGTGTAGGGTGCGACGTCAAAATAAGCTTGTTGCATCAGTCCCGTTCACGGCTGCATCCTATCGGGCTGCGGTGATTATAAATAGTCAGGCGGCGATCCCTTAAGGCGCGGGCGCAAGTTTCCGGGCTGGAAGTGTGTCGCTTCCGCCGCGAGCGGTCGTTGACGCGCGTGCATTGTCGCTGCCACATTCCCCGCCGCCGCCGGCGTCGCCGACGACGTTTTTAAATAGAGGGCCGATTACGAGCGTCTGGCTGCGGCGCCGGGCACATGACCGCGCGAAAGTGCAGCGCCCGCCGCGTCACGGGCTATTTGCGACACGCCGCCGCCTCCGCCGCCGCGCCCGCCGCTCGCCGCACACCGCACACCGCACGACTTTTAGACACAGGAAGCGCTCGAGAAATTACTTCACAACAGTCTCACGTCTCATATCTTCACGATCGTATTCTAGACCTATAGTAGAGTTTACAATTTGTTAATAAAACGTTGAAGTCTTTTTATCTATCACTTTTAACAAACAATACGTGATGATGCTCTATCATTCAAAAGAAATAAAAATAATGTCTCTTCCTTGCATATATTTTATCACCTAGGTTGCGCTAGTTCGCCATATTTTTAGGATCGAGCCGCTTGGACACTTGGAATCCCTAGTGTGGTAGGGTATAGGAAGCCCATGTTCCTAGTAGCAACATGGGTGGCGATGAGCACTGTCGGTCGCGGGTCGGCGGCGGTGCGGCGCAGACTCGGGTCGCGGCTGAATAAATTCGGAGGGAGGCGCGCTGGAATGCGGGAGACGGCGTGCGGGCGGGGGGCGCCGTGCGACTGGCGCGCGCGCCTCTGTCCCACGGTCGCGCGGCCCCGCGTCCCGCGCCCCGGACACTTTCTTTCGCGCCATAAAGGTCGTTTCAAATATTTTGGAATGCTGTTTGGTGACATTTCACCCACGGCGGAGAGGGGCAGAATGCAGCCTCCGGCATTCGACCGCGCGCTACGCTCTCGACCGGAGTCTCCGCGATGTAAGCCATGTGCCTGAAGACTGCCCCGCTGATTGCACGCATTTCCATCTATTTGTTCGATCGTTGTTCCCTCATAAGAATGCGACTCATTGCCTCTTTTATATCGGGAATGGCCCTTGTGAAACTCACATACTATTCATCGAAACACGATGTTTACGTTGAGATCATATAACTTTGTCGATCGTTATCAATAACGGGCACAACATTCAACTATAAGTTTTAGTTGTTACTCATCCACATAAAGATAATATTTGTATGGGTAAGAATTTTGTTGTTAACACCTAAGCACAACTTTTAAGAAACCGCACACATCTGTCTCTCCGCATCGCCTGCGACACCGCGGCCACGGCTCGCTCAGTCTACTTTCCACGCTCATGTGTGAACAAAGTTTCTCCAATTAATAGATTCGTTCCAATAGCAAACAGGCAGTCGGAGAAAGCCACAGCGGGGCAGGTCAACGTCCGTCGGAATTCACACCGACCGACCGGCGTGAACTTTACAAAGAAATGTGGCGTAACGCTCTAAAATTTGAAAAAGCGCGTTCGTTCGGCCATTCCGGGAATCAAAGGGCGGTGGCCGAGAGAGGAGCGAGTGGCGTGCGAGCAGCGGACGAGCTACGAAGGTTTATTGAGTCGCGCGCCGCTATGAATGGAATGCGGCGGCGGAGGTTGCGCAAGCGGCGAGCGGCGGAATGCGGCGGCGGGGGGCCGCTGCAGCCTGCGCTGCATCCCCGGCCATTCACGCCGCCGCCACCGCCGCCACCGCCGCCGTGTGCTCTGTGCTCGGCGAAATAACTCACCGTTAGAGCCGCGGAATGCTCGCTCTATCTCTACAGTCTACACCCGCCCGCACCCGCTCCCGCACCCGCACCAGTACCTCGCCGCTACCTACTTATAACGGCGACCGAGCTCCACTGATAATGACACATCTAACGAATGCATCTCTGCTCTTATAGGGCTATTAGGACGGTTTCATTTGCATATTTATGTAACAACAATTAAATATCGAAAAGTATATACGAGTACCTACACTAGTTGTGTTTACAGTTACTAAACAATATAATATACCTTATAAAAATATACTATATTTGTTTTTATGTTAACAAACTTTTTGTTTATTTAAAGATGTTATTCTTTCTTTAATTATATAATATTGATGCGAAAGCACTAAGTATATTTGGCATTTATTACTTTTAAAATAATAACAGTTTGATCTAAAATAAACAGTTTGTACAAATCACACTATTAGTACTTGTCTAGTTGCTATAATAATAAACAACTTATATATTAAGACATATTAAGTCCGCGTTTAGATGTACCGCGTGAAGTGGTTGGGATAATAATGGTTCGGTGACGAGCCGACCGCGCACTATCAAGTATCAATAGTCGGCGCGTCGCCCGCCCTACATATTTGTCACGTCGCGAGGCGGCTAGCAGCCCATTTCGTCACCTCATGTGCTAAATTCCTTTTTTAAGACCATTATTCTTCATATCTAAGCTCCGCGGCCCCTTGTGCTTTCTCTCACATACACTCGATCCCCTCGTAACCGACCCATTCAATTTGACACTGATGATCTAATGTTTGTCATTCACGCGATCCACTTCTATCGTAGCGAGTAAATTTAAATTTATTACTTTATCTAAATATTATATTTTAAACTTTCCAACTTTATTAGTTTAGCATAAGACGAATCATAACTCTCTCAAAAACTCACAATAAACTTCTTTTTTTTTAATACTATTAATGCTATAAAACATTACTCATATTCCCTTAAATCACTTCTGGTAAACTTAAAATACTTGTGTTAGAAGTGGTTCACGACAGTAGTCGAATGGCGGATTCGAACCCACGACCTTCCGAGTTCGCGGTCCGCGCCCTGCCATTAGGCTACTAACGCTTCAAGTCAGTACCAAAAAGTTTTTGGTACTATACAGTGTACATTTATAATGATATAAAACACAAGTAGTAATATACTAAGACGGCACATTTGTCATTATCACAAGTGTAAACATGCTTCGCGATAAAAAGTAACACATTTGCGCTATTTCCCATAGTTGTCAGCAATTAGAGCAGTGTGGGTACCGGCGAGGGCGGGCGGGACGGAACAGTGACACGTGTGGCCCACATAGCGCGTCCATTGAGTACGGACGTGACGTCACTTCAACCTTAAATTTTACTATGTTGTGCACTTTTTCTGCTTACGAGCCTCTTACATATTTTGTCACAAGCATGAGGGTAGCTAGGCAAGGTCGCGGCCACCCCTAGAAAATCTAGTATCCTCTTAAAAACCCCGTGTATCTAATTCCACTAGAGAAAAATACCTAACAGTATCTATCAGTACTCCAGCAAGTGTTGCCAATCGTAAAGTCTGTATCCCCTTGGACGCACCCCGGAAAAATAAAGCTTAGCAGCATTGTGCATGTAATGTTCGACGGCTACGCGGTGAAATGACGCAGTGGTTGAGCATTGAATCACGACGCTAAGGGCCGCTGGTTCGAATAACAAAGGTAACAAGTACTTAAATTGTTCATTGTATCGATATACATAATATGTCACGGTCAAATTTACAGTAACGTTTTTAACAAAAAATGTTGCTTCAAATCTCGCTCGTTCAACCACCATCTCCACTTCCAACATCTACCGAAAGCGCGGCAACGCTATCTTTTTAAAACATTTGCCATATATATTATTTACTTATGTTATATTACTCGTACTATATGTAACGGACAAGAGTATCTTCTGGTGGTTAAAGAACACTTTCATTGTTTCGCGGGTTCTGACAACTAAATCAAACATTTGGGCAAAAACACATTTGTTTATTTTAGATCTGGTTGTATTGTAATTCTATCTGTCTCTGATATTCCCCTGGTGCGTCAAATTTACCCTTTGCGGGCATTAAAGCTATTGTTGCGCTCCCGCCGCGGACATCAATTTCTTTTTAATTAATTTACTGTATTGCCGGTTACATAACCTGTTCATATATACGGAAAGGTTTGTTAATAGACAAAGTCAGATAATTTTTTTTAATCGATGACAAATTTGAAGATATTATTAGAAAATTGTCATTAAATCGCACCGCCGGTGACCCGTGCTGTGAAATACAAAGCCATGTTCTACCACGTATGATAGAGCACGGCTCTATCATACGTGGTAGAGCCATGCTGCAGCTATATTAATAGTATAGTTGTAGCTCGACCGGGAAGGACCACGCTCTAACAGAATACCAGCGTAAAATAGCAGCTTAATGCTGTGTTTCGTATGGTGAGTGTAGAGTACCGGAGACCCTTTTTACTGGAAGAGAGGCATTTTATCTTAGCCCTCACGACTGACAACGCATCTGCATTTTATTTTGCAAACGAAGTTAAATGTAGATGTCTATGGGCCACAGCAACCACTTACCATCATGTGGACTGTGTGCTTGTTTATCACCCTTATTCTAAAAAAAATATCCGCAAAGGGATTGACAGCCCTTGGGAATATTGCATCTTAGTCTTGCCCCGTATAAACGTTACTTCTCGCACGGGCACTTACACAGTCACACTACAATATCTCCTGTTCCAATTATTAATATGTTGTCACCGTGGTTATAAATCGGTCAAAACAATACAACTCATGTTACTATTTGATAAACTAACCGAGTATAACTTAATGAACTATCTATAGAAGAATAGGAAATGTTAAACGCAGCGTAGAGTAGCTCTCCCGGTTGGTAAGACATGCAGGTAGTTTATGGATGCAGGTGTCTCATTACCGTGCTTTATGGCAATACTTGGGGGCTTGTACAAACTGTACAAAATTAAGTAGAAATCAATTTTTAAATGTTACTGGCCAGGTCACATTATTTTCTTATTATAAGCTAGTGCTTGACCCTTGAGATCACACCTGGTGGTAAGTGGTGACGAAGGCCTAGATGGTAAATAATACTTTCTTAGCGTAAATGTTCAATATAGTTCAATGCACTATAATGGGTATCTCAAATTATGTGTTAACGTACAGGTGATGACATCGGCATCGATAATTTAGTGGTATAATTGTAGCGGCGCCGCAACTCCCGCGCAGCCGCCCCAACAAGGCCGGAGGCCTTATTCGCACCATTTGTGGTCACCATCCGCACTCCGCCTTGCCTAATTAGTGCTCACTTACGGTGTGGGTGAGCCCGCATTGCTCCGTCGAGCCTCGTAGGCCCTGCCGCCTTCGTTGTTCCTATTTTAGTCGTAGATTATGTTGAGTAACAACGACATAAATACAACGTATTCGAAACTGGTAAATCTCTGTCACAGAGAGACAGTCACAAGTTTAAAACTTCAATTGTATTAACGAATGCTATGTTACATTACAGAAACATACGGATAAACAAGTGATGGGGCGCTGCGGCAGCTAGTAGTCTGAGTCAGCATGATGTCATATGGTATGCGACTAATGGGAGCGTCCCGGCGCGCACACGTCACATCCCATTCCCGCCGCATACTTCATCCAATCGAGCGATGACAAATCCCTTCATATTCGTCTATTGTGCCTTAATACTTGTTTAATATTTAACTAACGGTAGTTATAAGCCAATTTATGAACACATGTATGTATAAATCTATTTGATTAAGTTTTGTATTTTAATGAATTATTATCACAAGTTTGAAGAAGAAGCGATGGAGAAAGCAAAGAAGAAAAGGAATTACGAAACTGGTTTTCATAATGATTTGACAGATTGTTTTATATTCTGAGATCATTGTGAAAGCTGATTTTGTTCCTATACAGTAAATGAAGATTTCATCGAGGGAAACTAACTTTTCATCAACATGAAGACAAATGAGAAACCAAGAAGCGAAATACAACTATTGATATTTTATAACCATTTGCCAGTTTATGCCATATATTATTATGA